TGTGTGTGTGTGTGTGTGTGTGTGTGTGTGTGTGTGTGTGTGTGTGTATACAAATACATACACACACACAGAGTACACACATTTATGGTCACTACGTTTGGCGTGACAGTTCAAGGTAGCAGGACCTATTCCTGTAAATGTGTAACTACTTGGATCATATTTTAGGAATTGCAAGTACTCCAACCTGTTTTTTGGCTTGTGTGAATAATGCAGCCCCACACAGACACACACACATAAAGAAAGACTCACACAGGTACACACACAGTGGTCTTACTCATTTGGTTTTACTCATTGGTATTCCTTCTGCTGTTTTTGCCATCAGCAACACTGTCTGACTGGGCAAGAGGTGGAAGGGGTCCAATTCAGTGTGTGTGTGTGTGTGTGTGTGTGTGTGCGCGCGCGCGCGCGTGTCTGTGCGCAGACTGCCTGATCAGCACTCCTGTCCTACAGGAAGTCCCGTGGTCGGCCTCCTCTGGTGATTTGTGCTGGAGAAGTGCAACATGACTCCTCTTTTGCTTCACTTTACTCCTTTTCTCTCCTTCCTTTCTCCTTTTCATTCATCTTTCTCCTTCAGCGCTTGTTCAAGCCCGTTCTTCCTTCAATTTTTTACATCACTTCCCTCCTTCTTTACATGTACACTGTCCTTCTGTCCCACACTGCCTCTCTGCATCGACAACTTGTCCTGTCTTCTGGTTCTTCCCACTCTTTTTAATCTAATCAGAATAAAACTTCTTCAAGACTCACTACTCGGAGACAGGAATTGCAACACTCCTCATTTCACCATTATGTGTGATTATTACTAGCCAGGATGGCGTGTGTGGCTTGTATTGTTTTCACCTCTAGAGCGTGTGTGTGTGAGTGTGAGAGAGAGAGAGAGAGAGAGAGTGAGATCATGGTAAAGCATGGTCCTCATTGGAGCAGGAGCTGCCACAGAAGCCGTTTTGAGTACTTTGCCAGGTGTTTCTGTGTCTGTGTTTCTGTCCGCCCGTGGACAGATCTTGTCACTAGTTGAGATCAAATTGAAGGCTGTTTGAAGATGGGTGTGGTCCGAGCAAGGGGGGTAGGAAGTGGAGAAGGGGCCATTGCCCCCCCCCCCCCCCCATAAACGCATACACACCGCCCCGTGGTCCAATTTGGCATCGCGGCTGGTGGGATCACATTGCAAGATGTGTCTCTAGCTTGTCTTGCTTTCACAAAATGTTGAGTGAACATTTTCTGTGCTGTATTTCTCACATCTAACTATTTATGTTGTCATAATTTAAAAAAAAAAAAAGATTACAACTTTACGACTACCACCCCTTAGGCAAATAGTTAACAATTATCTTTCAGAAACCTAAAGGAGTGTTTTCCACCTTCAAACACTTCAGAATTGTTCTCCGACATGTCATGTTGTGTGGTGCCTACTAATCTCCTTGAAGATATTATTGTGCTGTTCAGATGATGGGCGTCCTTATAGTAGCAGAGAGATGTAGAAACTGGAGGTGTTCTCAAGAGAGAGAGAGAGAGGGAGAGAATTAATGTGCAGGACTGTGTATGTAAGAGTGAGAGAGTGTTTTTCGATGGGTTCTGATGATGTCACAGACAGAGCTCGACTTCCTGCAGCCTTTGGCCCTGTCGGGAACAATCAGTGCTCCACGGGCGGATGAAAGCCCCGGGTCTCAGAGCCTGGACACCGTTACAGTCGCTGTTCAGAAGAAACCCCGTCACCAAAACTCTCTTCTTATTCTCCTTTTGATCCAAATCCACACGATCCAGAGTATAAATGTATAAATATGATTACGAATATCTTGGTACATCTATGATGGAGTTTGACACAGAGGTGGGAGGAAAATAAAAAAAGTGCATGCCTTTCAGTTGTGGGATTTTATGGATGCAATCAATATCTTATATTGTGGGACACTGATTGGATGATGTGTTCTGCAGCGTCATTCACACTGCGAGGTCTGATTTTCGCACTATGACGTAACTGTCCCTCTGCATGCGCACCTGTTCCGTTACCTCGTGTTGCCCGTGTTGTGAGCACGTTAATGTAAATATCAATATTAGGATAAGGACAGGAATTTCTCCTAATGTTACTGAAGTTTCACTACAGCTGTACTGTTGCTGGCTTCTTGAACAGTCTGAAAAACGAGCAAGATGAAAAGAAACAAAAGTGTGGAAGCAGAAAGATAACCACAGAACGATCCTCGCTGCTCTAGAAATGGATGTCTTGCTGTCATTTGTTGTTTTGTGGGCTCAGATGTTGTCTCGCAGTAATTCCTGGAGCCATTGAGTTGAAAAGGCCCCAAATATCAGCAGGCATTTCCCTTCTCGGTGCCGTCGCTTTCATCTGCGAGGTAATGACTGTGAGCCGGGGCCCCTCGGTGTGAGAGACCCCCTGCAGCAACCTGTAAAACCAGTGAGAGGCTGATCTGGTCATGTGATCATGGATGTGTTTACGTGTGTGCGCTACAGGTGTGCTCTTCTCTGTGTGTGCGTGTGCGCGCGCAGTTTAGTCTCAGGCTTTGCTTTTTATACGTGGCATTGATGGACTCTCTTCTGTGGGGCAGAGCGACTTGACCCCCTTGAAAATGTGCTCTTGTTTGCCAATTTCGGCCTACGTTGTGAAAAACACTGACTCAAGCTCAGGCCGTTTAGCTGGAGAACATGTGTGAACAGCTGTATTTAGCTGACACCACAGACTCTGAGATTCTGGTCGGGACTCAAAGAACAATTCTTGTTCTGAAGCTATTTCTGCGTAAATGGGATGTCAACCCTGTTCAAACGGTGCCACTAAACTGCACCTTTATTGATCTCTTCATTGTTTTGTCTTATCCTTACTTATCTCACTGTGGCTGCAGCTGGAAAGCACACAGCATGTTGCCACCACTTCATTTGCTATAGTAGCAATGTTGTTGGGGGGGATGGCGAGTCCAGCAAGACATCGGGTTTGGAGGAATGTTATTACTATATAATACTATTGACATATATTGATGTCCAAGAGTCATTTTACTGTTTTGATCATCCAAAAGATATTGGGCTTCACTCAACTAAGTTATGGGCTTGGAGAAAATGGCATTGAGGAGGCAGTGATCCCTAAATTGAAATTGGAAAGAAGTCATGGTCACCTCTCGTCCCAACATTTTGGTGGTGTTTTTGAGCCTCGGTGGAGTAAGTGCTACTCTGTCCTGTACTGAAGCAGCAGTGCTGTATCTCCACCATCGCAGCTCACACATCGTGAGTTTTGCAAACATGAGCTTTACAGATTTAAATAGTTGATTAGTTCACAGAAACCTTGAAGTCCGTCTGCTCTCGTCCTTTTGAGGCAGACTGTTAAATTAGCCAAATAAAACGACAAACGATGTACACAGTCAATCGGCAATACATTCATCCAACAGCCCAGCCCTATACAGTATGCATTTCATTTCATTACTATCGTCTGCTGTGCTGGCTTACAACCCCTGTGAGATGCATTAACATGGCTACAAATAGTATCAATTAAGCAACACAGGATAAACGTGACTCTCTCTCTCTCCCTCCCTCTCTCTCTCTCTCCCTCCCTCCAGTCATTGTCTGCAGCAGTGGTCCAGGTGTTCACGTCAGATAGGAACTCCAGCTGGACCAAGAGATGCTGCGGGGTGGCCTGTCTGGTCAAAGACAACCCCCTGCGATCCTACTACATCAGGGTCTTGGACATCAAGGTAAGTAAATAGAGAGCTGGGAGCAGTCCTGCACTTCACATCATTGTGGTTCCTCCCTGTAGACTCTGGCAGACGATGCTACTACCGCCATTTGATATTCATATTATATTTTTATAGCCACACAATTCAATCTGTGGGGACGTCTTTTCATTTAAGACCTCTAGCATTAAGCTGCTTGTTGTACTAACTGCTTCCTATTCCTTCATTCAACTTTGTGGTTTTTTTTTTCCCCCCCACAGGATGGAAAGATGATGTTTGAACAGGAGCTGTACAACAACTTCACCAGCTACGTCCCCAAACCTTACTTCATCACATTTGCTGGAGACGTGAGTTTCCCTCGCTACAGCTTTCTCTTTTTTTTTATTTACGATCCTCTGTTTTCTTCATCATCATTGTCATAGACAAGTACTTTTTTTATTGTTTTTATTTATTCAAGAAAGATGTAGCTGGAGAGGGAAGAGGAGGGGAACAGTATTATTTGAGATAATCTCAGTGTTTGCCATCAGAGATCCATCATTGAGTTTTACATTTGAGTCATCAATGAGTCTTTGAACCCAACCCTAATAAAGACCTGTGTAGATTTATGGAGATGATTTTGTGCAACCAAATAGTCTCCAAGCCTATATTCTTCTCCAAAAAACTAAATCTAGTAACCTATTAAAAAGCTGCCACGACAAGCACTTTGCCCACCAAAAGACGGTCTGTGTATTTGCATCATACGGCCTAAAACTAAATAGTGTGTAGAACTCCTAACTCTATGTGACATCTAAAGCGCTTCTTGTGGAAAGACGTCTTTATTTGTGGGTCAAACATGTTATCTGGTGGGAACGGTGGCTCAGACTGCAGCAGACCATGAGGTATGTGGGGCAGCCGTTTGTGATGATGATAATAATAATAATGCTGGGAGTGTGTGCACATCATGGTTTTGAAATTCTGCATGGGAATTGGGTAGTTTAGGGAGGTCCTTGACAAGACATACATTGAGTTCTGTGTGTGTGTTTACAGACATGCCAAGTGGGTCTGAACTTCGCCAGTGAGGAGGAGACCAAGCGTTTCCATAACCATCTGGCGGAGCTAATGGGGAGAAGACAGAGGAAATCTGGTACCATCTTACCGCTGCTGCTCACTTGCCTACAAATCTACCCACTGACCTAACTCACTGGAAAAATGACATGTTTAGTAAATTCATATCTCGTGTTCAAAATAATCCCGCAAACCACGTTAACACAGGGATGTTACGTTCTGCAATGTCTGCTTCTGTGTTTGCTTTGGTTCGTGTGTCTTTAAGAGGTGAAATGATCTGTTATCTAATATCAGTGTGAGCACAAGAGACATTTAATTTCTAAACGTGTCATTTTGGACTCTGAACTTTCCCCATCTTCTTCTTCTGATCTCCCGATCTCTTTTCACTCCTTAGAACCTTTGATAACACACATAGCCGTTTTCACAGTGTCATTACGCTGCTCAAGTCACCAAAGTAAACAAAGATTTAACAATTCTGTCTTTTAATGACATATGATATTAATAGTCATCTGGGATGCTTCTCAGCGAATGTGCTGACTGGCTCGGGGGGGGCGCACTACAGTTTCATGTTCAATGGTCAGCAGTGAGAAGCACTTCATCCCTCATGAGTTTACTATGTCCAGGTGGCAGAGCATGAATTGAACGAGGACGATTTCATTTACCGTTTTGCCCTTAAATATTTTAACTAAGATAATACATTAGTAGTACTCAAGAAATGTATTGTTGGACTCCGAGACTGAGGCTTCAATTACAAACGCATTGCAAAGCCGCTCGGACGCCGTCTTCAACTAGAGTGGGTACGGAAAGTATTCAGACCCCTTTAAATTTTTCACTCTTTGTTTCATTGCAGCCATTTGCTAAAATCAAAAAAGTTCATTTTATTTCTCATTAATGTACACTCGGCACCCCATCTTGACAGAAAAAAACAGAAATGTAGAAATTTTTGCAAATTTATTAAAAAAGAAAAACTGAAATATCACATGGTCATAAGTATTCAGACCCTTTGCTCAGTATTGAGTAGAAGCACCCTTTTGAGCTAGTACAGCCACGAGTCTTCTTGGGAATGATGCAACAAGTTTTTCACACCTGGATTTGGGGATCCTCTGCCATTCTTCCTTGCAGATCCTCTCCAGTTCCGTCAGGTTGGATGGTGAACGTTGGTGGACAGCCATTTTCAGGTCTCTCCAGAGATGCTCAATTGGGTTTAGGTCAGGGCTCTGGCTGGGCCAGTCAAGAATGGTCACAGAGTTGTTCCGAAGCCACTCCTTTGTTATTTTAGCTGTGTGCTTAGGGTCATTGTCTTGTTGGAAGGTGAACCTTCGGCCCAGTCTGAGGTCCAGAGCACTCTGGAAGAGGTTTTCTTCCAGGATATCTCTGTACTTGGCCGCATTCATCTTTCCTTCAATTGCAACCAGTCGTCCTGTCCCTGCAGCTGAAAAACACCCCCATAGCATGATGCTGCCATCACCATGTTTCACTGTTGGGATTGTATTGGGCAGGTGATGAGCAGTGCCTGGTTTTCTCCACACATACCGCTTAGAATTAACGCCAAAAAGTTCAATCTTGGTCTCATCAGACCAGAGAATCTTATTTCTCATAGTCTGGGAGTTCATGTGTTTTTTGGCAAACTCTATGCGGGCTTTCATATGTCTTGCACTGAGGAGAGGCTTCCGTCGGGCCACTCTGCCATAAAGCCCCGACTGGTGGAGGGCTGTAGTGATAGTTGACTTTGTGGAACTTTCTCCCATCTCCCTACTGCATCTCTGGAGCTCAGCCACAGTGATCTTTGGGTTCTTCTTTACCTCTCTCACCAAGGCTCTTCTTCCATGATTGCTCAGTTTGGCTGGACGGCCAGGTCTAGGAAGAGTTCTGGTCGTCCCAAACTTCTTCCATTTAAGGATTATGGAGGCCACTGTGCTCGTAGGAACCTTGAGTGTTGCAGAACTTCTTTTGTAACCTTGGCCAGATCTGTGCCTTGCCACAATTCTGTCTCTGAGCTCCTTGGGCAGTTCCTTCGACCTCATGATTCTCATTTGCTCTGACATGCACTGTGAGCTGTAAGGTCTTATATAGACAGGTGTGTGCCTTTCCTAATCAAGTCCAATCAGTTTAATTAAACACAGCTGGACTCCAATGAAGGAGTAGAACCATCTCAAGGAGGATCAGAAGAAATGGACAGCATGTGAGTTAAATATGAGTGTCACAGCAAAGGGTCTGAATACTTATGACCATGTGATATTTCAGTTTTTCTTTTTTAATAAATTTGCAAAAATTTCTACATTTCTGTTTTTTTCTGTCAAGATGGGGTGCTGAGTGTACATTAATGAGAAATAAAATGAACTTTTTTGATTTTAGCAAATGGCTGCAATGAAACAAATGGTGAAAAATTTAAAGGGGTCTGAATACTTTCCGTACCCACTGTAATTAGTGGCACTCGGTCCTTAACTTTCATCCTCTTCTGCTTAAGACCGTCCGTCTTCCCTCTTCTGCGAGTCATCTCCTGACCCTTCAGTTGGATCATTCTGTCATCTTTTCCCCCCTCTGCACAGGGGGCCTAATCTTATCTCCGAGGCTTCTTCTGATGGAAATCTCAATGTGTGTCGATGGCATTCCTGTTTTAGTATTCCTATTCTTTATAGTACTAAATGAGTGAATGAGAGATGAGTGTACCGCTGCAGAGTTTAGTTTTTGCAGTGTTGAATTAATCTATGTATATAATGTCAGCTGCCGTATATATGTGTGTGTAAGAATGTCTGACTAACGTCTCCTAAACCAAACACTTTGCTTGGCGATCTTTCCAAATAACTCCGTTCTGCGCAGCACGTGCACAATCCCGCCGAGCCGCGCGCTAACAAACCAATGCCCTCTCTTCTCTATCTGTGTATATCTGTGTATATCTGTGCGCTGACGCACTTCCAACACACACTTCTCACTAACACAACCCACTGCTGCCCGCTAGATAAGATTGTAATGACTGCATTTGTCTGTGTGTTCACAGAGAAGAGACGCGACCCTCCGAATGGTATGTTTTCCACTGTTTCCTGTCGATTTAGCTTTCAGAAATACGCAGAAGACGTGCAAAACAGAGTCAGACCTGCGTCTGACGGCATTGGCAACATTTTTAATCATCTAAAATCAACAGCTGTCCAAAAACTACGTTGTCACATCAGCTGTGTCCCATTTCCATACAGCATACAAACTCTTAAGCAGGTGTGTTAAAAAAGATTACGTTTTGCCTTCTCTTCGCAAAAAATTGTCATTCTAAAATTTCCGTTTGACTGCTAGACACGACCAAGCTTCCTATACATATCGCTTACACACTAATGCAGGATTGAGAACTTCTAGGAAATAACTGGAGTTGTTTAGGAATTTCGAGGGAAATAACGCGCAAGCTCATAATACCGTCACGATACGATTACACGTGGAGTGGAGTCTTGATCCGTGAGCTGCATGCCCTTCATGGCCCGACCCTCGCTCAGTGCAGTCTGATGACTAAACATTTGTGGACATGCACACATTTGTTTGTGGACACCCGGCATAGTTTACACCGGAGGGAGCCAGCTTTGGACTGACAAACGGCATGATTGGATGCAGCTGGTGTGTGTGTGTGTGTGTGTGTGTGTGTGTGTGTGTGTGTGTGTGTGCGTGTGCGTGTGCGTGTGCGCGCAGAAGACACAAATATGACACATTTTTGCATTCAGCCGATGCTCCTATCCATAGCCGCTTAACATCATTGGGCCTGTGGATGCTTAGTTTTGGGGCACATGTGGTCAGACGGCCATATATGACGTGTCGTACATGACGTAAGCCACCATGTAACTGCGAGCTACACGGTGAACCATTTTGGGGTTGGATTCAGAATTATTTTGGCTTTGTGTTGGTATACTATGATGCAGTTCACTGGGAAGGAGAACGTTCTCTAAAAGGGATGTGTTCCATTTACCTGCGCAGAAACGTTTCTATCAGTTTCTGTCTTGGATCTTGTGTTTTGAATTGCTTCCATTCCAGAGGAAGTCATCCTTGTCTTCTCTCCGTCTCCATCTGTTCTCACTCTCACTTCATATTACCGCATCAGAGCTCTGTTGCCGTCTGTCATCTCCAGCCTGGTTCTTGCTTTCCATCTGTTCTGCCCTTTTCTCCTGCTGCCCTTTCCAGCTCTTCCCTTCTCATCATTTGTCCCCTTCATCCCTCTTCTTCTCGTTGAATCTGTCTTCACCTTCCCTCCTTTTCTCTCCTTCTCTGTCTGCCTTCTTCATGTTTCCTCCTCACCCTGCGGATTCATCATGTTTTAGAAACCCCCCGGAGATTAACGTGGGTTTATGCGTGGATGGGTTTTAACGGTTACGTAAAAAAAAAATCCAGCGCTAAACCCAGAATGATTTGCTGGGATTAGGTCCATGCATGTGTTTTTGCAGAGAGAGGGTGGAGACGGTAGCGGAGGTGGGTGGAGAGATGTCCGCGGGGGAGCCAATCCCAGCAAGATAATCTGACGGCGCTCCCCGCTGTGATGGAAAGTCAACGGAAGAGAATAATGATTGCAAAACAGATGCAAAGTATGCAGAGCTCGGGCAGACGGATAAAGCAGGGAAGCAGAAATCTGGTGAACAATTTATTTGCACAGAAGACAACTGTTGCTGTGATGGAAGGAATGTATGAGCGACGGTAAACTTTGGCTGGCTGAGCGTCGGCTGTCTCGTCTCCCTTCTGGATGGCAGTGCTGGATGTCTGCCTTCACAGCTCAGACGGTATGCGCGTTAACCCCACCGGATGTCGGATGAGGACATTACTTCAGTAAACGCAGACTGTTGCGCCGTCACAAGTTGGTTTATTTTCCCGTGCTGGTGTTGTGGTCGTGCTTTTGGAAACCTTTGGGATCATCTTGGCTTTTTAGCGAAGGAGAAAACGGGAATCTGAAACCAGAGAACAAGGGGGGGTCGTGCTTACAAAGTCGTATTGAAGTGTCTGTCCACGTTGGGGATGAGAACCTCCTGGATTCGGTACTTCCAACAGACAACAGTTCTCTGTTGACTGAGAAAGAAAACCTCAGATCTCTCTGGCGCCAAAGAAGCAAGGCTGTATCTGAGCCGCAAATCTGCATTCAAAGCACTTGTTTGACCCAGGATCTCCCTTGGTGTCTCCATCTGAGCTTGTTCTCGCAGTCAGCTGCAACGATGATGTTCTGCACCACCTTCCTGTCTGCTCCCTCTGAGGAACTTAATTGCGAAGGCAACGTTGGAGGAGCAGCAGCAGCAGCAGCAGGGGGTGGAGGTCTGAGCCCCGGGAGTTGCCTGTCCTCATTACACTGCCTGGTCCTCCCTCAGGACGAACTGTACCCGTCTCTCTCCGACCCGACCAACCGGCTCTCCGCGTCCCCCGAAAAGAGAGCTCACGACTTTGTCGGCGAAATGCTTCTCGGTGTCGGTATGAGCGCCTGCGAAGCGAGAGGCGGCGGGTGTATTTGGGACCGGGTGAGAAGGCGACGCAGCCGTTCGGCCTCGCCTTCGCCCAGCAAAACACCCGGTTGTGAGAGCGCCAAAGGTATGTGCTGCCGCTGAGGCACCGGTACCGCCCGCTGTTGATCAGAAATCCACGTTGTCTGGCTGCACGTGTAATGCGTTTACATGGAGGATAATTTGGATGATTAATCGAGAATCACCAAACTGACAGAACCAGTTTGACAATAGATTTAAACATTCGGTGCCTGAAAGACACTTGTTTGGTATCGGTCTGTTATTTAGTTCAAATAACCCGAAGTAATGAGATGATGCTGTAATCCCACATATTCCCTCTTCACACCCACTAACCCAGATCAAGAAGCGAGACCTCTCTGTGCCAAACAGTCTGTAACAGCTGTTAAATAATGACTTGCATAACTGATACAATACTGCTGACCCTGAAAACCCCCCACGCTTGGTTGTCAACATTCATGAACTTTTAAACAATTGCCAGAGATATCATTTGTAGCCATTTATTGTAAAGACGGTATACGTGTTATTTAAAAAGCACTCTTACTCGTTGAGCTCTCGTGGGGGAACAAAAAAGTTTGTGTCTATATATTTCCTCATCCATGCATTCCGGTGCTGTGTTGTCATACAAACCGTAACGTCGTCGTCGTCTCTGTCATTTTTTTTTTTTTTTGTAGGCCCGACGTTGCCCATGGCTACTATCGACATCAAAAACCCGGAGATCAGCAATGTTCCACGTTTCCACAACAACTCTCAGGTGATCAACATTGTGCATTCATCCTTCCACAAGAGGGAGAAAAAGGGCAAGGCGAAAAAGAAGAGGCTCACCAAGGCAGACATCGGCACACCGAGCAACTTCCAGTGAGTCGGCACCGGCCTCTAGTAGGGTGGGGTTCAAATCAGGTGGCGCTACATAAACTGATATGACCATAACTCAGAGTTCATCCCTTATTAAAGCCCTTATACTGCCAGTCAGGATTAGTGTACATGCTCATGTGATTCCATGCAGAACAAGATACAGATTAAACATTTGTGTATACGCACCTCCAGTAGAAGGCTATGTAACCGTAGGTCTTTAAAGGTTATTTATTGTAGACGTTTCGAATACGACATGTTGGCCCAGAATCCCTCTCGTCCATATCAGGACTGGTGAATCAGGCCACGGTATTAATCCAGGCCGTCTTTATTGAGAATCTAATCCGACAGAATGTGTCGTGTGATCGGTAATGCAGGAAAATCTGTGCTGTGAGAGCGGCAGCTCTCAGTCTGTTATGAGATACTGCAGGTTACAAACGGGCTATCTGGGTAAAATGTACTCCTCTCATTTGATCTCACATGCTCTCTCTCTCTCTCTCTTCTCTCACAGGCACGTTGGGCATGTAGGATGGGATCCAAATACAGGTTTTGATGTAAGTGCAATATAAGAATGCAACGTTAATGCTTGTTTACACGTCTCTCTGCACACATTGGAGTATGTCACCTCGAGATATTCTTAAAATTTAGCACCTAGTTTATGTTAGTCAGTCACACATCCCTCTTCTAGAAAGATTTATTTCAAAATATTAAGCGGAGCCGCGTGCCCAAGTCATCAGGAACGTTGCACAAGGAGATTCTGGAGGGAAGAGAATCAACTTTCATTTGCATAATCCATGGACTCCTTCCCAAAAAAAAGCATCATCGGTAATTATGATGGACTCTGGATGATTAGTATGAGATCATGCAGGTCAGAGGACTTACTCTGTCGGCTAATGAAAAAGATGAAATTCAGATGATTTTGCTTTCATAAGTTAATGCTTTCAAGGACTTATTTGAGTGGGTGACGTCAGAATAAAGCTCGCTCACCTCTCAAATCCTCAGGCTTCAAACTGGAGCACAAATAAGTGGATTCACAAATGAGCTGGGGATGTATTTTATAGTCTTACCAGCTAATATGTTCTTTCCTCACTCCATAGATGCAGATAAAGCACCCACTTGTTTAAGTGATAACCCACCAAAAAGTAGTAAACATTTCACTGTTTCCCCCCTCTGTGTCTGCCTGTAAGTGTTACCCCACACCACCAGGTGGCAGAATAATCACTGATATTTTGGTCTCATTTTGAGCCATCTTCATATCTGAGAGTCCTCACAAGGGAGAGTGTAAAAACAGTTACTTCTCACATACTTAATACTGTGTATTCGTGGTTTGTCAGATGTCTTTTTTTAATCCTAACTGAAGCGAACTCAACTCCTGCCACGTCACATAATGTGTTACTAAGCTGCAAAGCTCTTGAATACCACCAGTGAGAAAGAGAATGATCTGTTATATATCCTTTAGTTTATTTAATTAGACTCTTTTGTGCTGATTCTGTACAATAAACCCGAGCCACAGAGTGAAGTTCTCCTGTTTTTCTTTCTTCAGTTGAACAACTTGGACCCCGAGCTGAAGCATCTGTTTGATATGTGTGGCATCTCTGAGGCTCAGCTGAAAGACAAGGAGACCTCGAAGGTCATCTACGACTTCATCGAGAAGAAAGGAGGCGTAGAAGCTGTCAAAAACGAGCTACGGCGACAAGGTAAGGCCGACGCACCATCTGGAATACCCTAAAAAAAAAAATAAAAAAAAAAGAAGTTTACTGCCATAGAAGCAAAAAGGAATTGAAGGAATTACCAGATTATTTTCTTTGGACAAAAAACATTATTCTAAAGGGAAATTAAAAAAGGTAACGTCCCACACGTCCACAGTAAACTTCACTATAATGTGATATGCATTTCAAAGGGTGACTGTCAGTTTAACTGGTGTGGTGGTTTTATCCCCAGGTCCGCCCAGGTGGATTGGTAGGTTTCTGTGCATGACCTGTGCACGGCAAGTTGAACTGTAATTAACAATTCAATGATAGCGAGTGAGAGTTTTTTCCTGTTTCTGAAGTGAGTTGAGTGTTTGCTCTGTTACACTTGTTTGTATTTGAGTTTTTCTTTTTATCATTGGCTGACATGTCGACGTCTGGAGACACTAAAAAGCTTTCAATAGTGAGCTCCTCATGAGTTACATGGGGGAAGGCTGCCCCCAGTGGTTTGATTCTATAACTGCATGATGCATTGACACGAGCAAGAATTGGGCAACTGATTTTTGACAGACTTGCCGTGAAATAGATTTTTGACAGATATGCCGTTTTGTTTTTTTTGACAGAATGTGAAAAATACATGAAATCTGCAGTGTGAATTCTGAAGGATCTGCAGTGATGATTACAACTTTGCTCCTTTTTAACTTCTTTTTTTTTTTTCTCTCTCTCTCTCCAGCTCCTCCGCCCCCTCCGTCCAGAGGCGGCCCCCCTCCTCCGCCCCCGCACCACAGCTCAGCCCCACCTCCCCCCCCCTCCAGCCCGGGGGCGAGGGGCCCCGCCACCTCCTCCCCCCTCCAGAGCTCCCATCTCTGCACCCCCTCCTCCCCCTCCATCCCGACCGGGCATGTCCGCTCCACCGCCTCCCCCGCCCAGCCGGGGCTCTCTCCCGCCTCCCCCTCCGCCAGCCCATGCCTCAATTTCGGCGGGGCCTCCCCCGCCGCCTCCTCCTCCCTCATCCTCCGCTCCGTCCAGTACCGGAGCGCCGCCTCCCCCCCCTCCGCCTCCGCCGCCTCCCGGCCCTCCGCCCCCTGCCCCTATGCTGCCCACGGAGGCTAACGGCGGGGACAGCGGTGTGCCCAAGTCGGCACTGCTGAATCAGATCAGAGAAGGCACCCAGCTGAAGAAGGTGGATGCTAAAGAGAGGCCGGGATCCACCAACACCGGCCGAGACGCACTTCTGGACCAAATCCGACAAGGAACCAAACTCAAAGTGGTCAGTAAACATGCGTCACACGCGACACGCCTCTCAATCAAACATGTATTTGTCTTAATCCTGTGCTTTAACGCGTGCTGTCTTCTTTACAGAGGGATGACACAGATGCAGTCCCTTCCACCCCGGCCCTCTCGGCAGGCATCGTGGGGGCGCTGATGGAGGTGATGCAGAAACGGAGCAAGGCCATTCACTCTTCAGGTACACAGAAACAGTCACCAGTTGCTTGACACCGGTCGCTGGCACTCAGACTATGCATCATTGACTGTATGTCAGATGACGCACTGTCGCCAGAATATACATTAGACTTTCACCACTTCCTCTTCAGTCGTGAATAACCTCATAGTTCCTTTTTTTCTATTTTGAGACAGTGGAGGAAACTGTTCTTCCCTTGATTCAGAGAAAGTAAAGGTTTACTGTTAAACAGACAAAAATATATATATACATAATATATATTTGTATATACATTGTATATTTGTATATACAAAAATATATACAAACTTTATCTGGAAAAAGAAGTGCTTTGGAAAATGCCAGTTTGGTTTCTAATAGGATAATTCATTCAGTGAATTTTATTATTTCATTGTATAAGAACATCACTTCAGCTGTTTTCGGTATTCTTCTTGTGAACGTCTTCTTCTCTTCCACAGATGAGGACGATGACGATGACGATGATGAGGACTTTGAAGATGATGATGAATGGGAGGACTAGCGATATATATATTTTTTTCTCTTTTTTTTTCTCCCCTCTCCAACCCGTGGATGATTATGACACTAAAATAACTCTTGTCTTTCCATAAAGAAATCTTTAATTTCAAAATTCTAAATGGAAATGTTCTATCAATTTGCTGTATATTTTTGTTGCCTTTATGCTTTTTTTTTTTTTTTTTTTATTAATCTGTGCAATACCTCATTTAATCTGTAAATGTTTGTCATTCTCATATCTTAGGCTTTTTCTTTATCTCTCCGTCACGTCTGTCTCCACTCTGTCGCCTCCATCTCGTCTCTTGATGGCAATATGTCTCATTTTAACTGTGTTCGGCCTTTTCCATCTCTCTGCATCTCTTTCTCCTCCTCCCACATTCCCAACCTCGCTTCCATCTGTTACTCAGCCATCTTTCACATCTGCTGCCTCTTATCATGTTACCGCATGTTCCCTTCCTGTCACTCTCCCGTGTTCCCATTCCCCAGATTAACACAATAATTTCACATCAAATTGTCTCTTGAACCTTAGAGTTAAATGTTTTTTGTTTTTTTTGGTCAGTGATTGAAGGGAAAGGGCTTAGTCGCTACAAATCCTTCATCAATCGTGTCTTCATTGTTTGTCAGGAGGAAAAAAAAAAGAACTATTTTCATACCCTATTGCTCTCTAGTTTATTTTTACTTATTCAAATGAACCTAGTTTAGCACTCATATTTTCTTAAAACTGAGAAGAAGAAAAACGCTCTTTTTTGGAATATTCAGCTTTGTTTGCTGTCGACTGTAAATTTGCTCCAGAGTTTGAGTCTTGTTATATTTTTGCACAGATTGAAAGAGGAGACTCGCTGCATGAATACAGGACATTTTCAGGTCTGTATCGTTATGGAACATGCATATGCTTTAAGTAATGTGGCACTTGGACATTAAGCATTTTTAAACCGTTAACCCACCACACTACATACAGTACGCGCAAGGAGGTAGCCCACAGTTTTATGGCTGGCTATCTCTTGTGAATTTTATTTTATTGTTTCTTTGGTCACTATCTCACTTCAGATTCTGTTGAAATTTCTTTTTTTTCTTTTTATCTTTTTTTTACAATAGCAAGCAGAGTATTAATAAATGTCTGTTTGTTGGAATCAGGTCATTCATCATGTTAAGCTTAAGTAATAAAGACATTTTAGTTTTACACACCTGATGCTTATAATGGGTCCATATGCTAAGTTGCTGTACAGAGACAGCGGGGATAAAGTAGTATTTGTCCTGTTGTAGACACTAAGTGCTGACAGTTTAGGGAGAAACACTAGATTCATGGCATCATTCAAACAAGTATCCACATGTTCTTGACGAACTAGTAAATCATGAGGCGTAATATAGGAATAGTTCAAATGACTCGGTGGTCAATTATTCTCTACAAAGACCAAATGGTCAGATGTCTTCTATTTAAAGGTGGATTTTTCACACGGGACAGGGCTTTAAATGCCAAATTGTTCCATCAATGTCAAAAAGAAGCAGATTTTTTAAATCCTATTTGACAAAAACACAACTGCAATGGCATGACTTGTCCTGGTGTGGTTAAAGTCTGACTCAAAAGTACAAGTAACCTATTAGGAACTGTTATTTCCGCAGTTATTGCGACTCTGTACTTATGGATTGCTCGCTAACCAACGAGGCGCTAATGCAGCCACAAGTGACAATTGTGGGGAGAAATGCTATAACCATACTGTAACCGTAGCACAAATGGAGATATATCTGTCTAAGGTTAGCTAGCATTAGCCAGCATATGCTAACTGGTCATACCAGGCCGAAAACGGCAGCAGCAGTAAAAACCCCGAGTGTATTGAATTTAAAGCAAGACTGCATTTTATTGCGAATGAATTCTACTTTAAATTTTTACGGGGTACTTTTCAAAAGTCTCACTTTAACTCCAGAGCCAGTTAACTGCTAACCCCGTTTTTCTTTGAGCGTCAAACATACAGCTTGGCCTTCCAGGTTTTCTCAACGGCTGCCATGTTAGCATTTTGCACAGGCTAACGAGTAGCATGCTAACATTGCTATCATGTTTTGGCTTATAGGAGAGCTGATGCCGAAACGTCTTACCCTCAGTGTAACAAATATCCAGAAAAAAATGACATCAAAATAGTTTTTTTGTGTGTTTTTTCATTGTTTGCAGAAGAGGAATGTTTAAATTCTGTCTTTTAGAGACAAATTGCCCCTTGTTTGATGTAAGAACTGACTCTTGTCAAATGTCAAGATACTTTTTTGGGGGAAACCTTGCCATGTTTTCGCTGATGTTAGCTTCTGTAGGTGACTCAGTAAATAAGGACGCCAGGCCTTCTCAATGAGGCTTGAGAAATCATGAACTCTTACATTGTACACTCCAATAAAAGGTTGATATTTACATATGTTGGTTTTTGGGCTTCCTTTACCTTCACAGCCTGTTTTTTTTTTTAATGGATTTTTCTTCCCAAGGCTTTTTATGGTTTAGAAGTTAAACTTTTTATGGTTTAAGTTGATTTAAGTTTGTAGATTTGACCTTTAAAGGAGAAAAAGAGACCCAATACTTAATGTGCACAGACTTTGTTGCGCTTGTGTAAGAGAGCACAATCATGTCTGTCAGGTTTGTAATTTCAGTATGTGCATCTGTTTGTCCATATATATGTGTGTGTGTGTGTGTGTGTGTGTGTGTGTGATGAAAACAGGCCTCATCACCTGCAATATACAGCCAGACAGGAAGTTGGACAGATCTGGGAACAGCTGAGCAGAGGATTATCACACCCTTTACTGCTACCATTTCACCCACTGAGCCAAGTAGAAAGGAAAACTAGGTGAGTTAGGACAAAGCATACGTTCGGCTTGTAATTTCCAGTTCACCCGGTACACGTTGTGTCATGTAACCGACCTGATTTCGGGTTCCCAACGAAGAGAATTTCAGTTTCTTCGTGGGAATATTTGCAGACCCGAGATGAGATGAGAGCATCCTCCAGGAAATTAACCTTTCAACAATAGTTTTAGAAGCCTCTACAAGACCTGACCCTGTTATTTAGTGTGACCATCACAATAACGACCACAACAATTCCATGCCGCCACCATTTATTTTTAGTGTACGGTCCACATCAGCTGACACCGCACCCTGTATTCTCTGTGCTGCAGAGTTTATGAGGGGGATTATAGCAGGTATGACACTTTCCATTTGTGTGGCTGCTTGCTTCCATAGAGATCCCGATCAACACAAACAGTATGCACATATACAAAGGCATTAATAGAAGCGATGCGCTGTTTGTCTTTTGATCGTCGATCTTTAAACTCATTGTTTACTTATCGGCTGATGAAACTTGTTGAAGCGCATTTGTATTACTAATACTCCGGCACCTGTAATGTAAGGTTCCTTCTTTTGGACTCTAAATGTCTGTTGTATATAGAAACCATAAATAATTGTATACATTTTACAAAAAGGATTGTTGCTGTTAAAATTCAGCCAGATGTCCTGAAGCCAAATAGAATATTAGGTAAATTATTGGTGAAATTGCCCTTTAATGCACTTGAAGCTAGGTTTTGCATTTTAGGATTTATAGGAAAGGATAGTCAGCTTAATATTAGCACAGCGGAATAGATTGTAAATCGGCAACAATGCATACATCCGTTGGGGAGGAATGCAAATGTCAAAGGGCGTGAGTGCTGTGACTGAGAAGCTAGAGGCTTTTCTCTAGGTCAGTGTTAAAGGAATACATGTTACCGTGTGTACCTAACACTTTGTTTTGTGGTTAACATACATTAAAACCATTAAAACCTCTGTCCATCCTGTGAGGATAGTGCAGAGACCACATTTACAAGCAGGAAGTCCTTCCATATTATGGAAGGATCCCATGACATTTTGACAGATAGGACAAAGTGCTGTGCTTGAATAGAGGAAGCTTTATTCTTAGGACACTTAGTCTAAGGAATGAATTATGTATACTGAGCCTATTTACTTGGCAAGGCTATTTAGTGTACTGCTTTTGGGGGGGGAAGGGTGCACTGCATATGGAGATGAACTCAGCTCTGTCTTGTTTAAGGTTGGATTTTCTTCTAAATACTCTTATCAATCAATATACCATCTCATATCCTCAACAGTACTGCCCACCATTTTCCTGTGCATACCACAGTTTTTAGACTAATGGACTTAATTAATGGAATGCCTTTGAAGCGAGACATCGCTCTAAAAGGGTCTGGAATTTATGTAATTAGTAGTTTTCTCAGTTGCCACCCTTGAGCCCCTGACTGTGTTGTCTTTTGTTGGATTTCGGAGTCGGGGAACTTTTCCAACAAGCATAAACAAATGCAGGACCGGGATTAGGATGCTGATAGCTCACATCCCTCAGTCTCTTGCTGTCTCTCTCATCGATCTTGTGATTCTTGTTTAAAGTTGATGTCTCATCTGTGATGTCAGTGGAGCTAGTAGTGGCTGTCTATTCCTTCTCTTCACTTGTCATGCATTGTGAATTGTTCAAACGAAGTGCGCCAAAGCCCTGCTCTAATGCGTGCTGACTGGCGTGGGCATGTTGTGAGTGGGAATATGCATCAGTGGCGCTTGACCAGTAAGATGACTCACTGATGTAAAAAAACACTGCTGCACAACAGCATGACCCTTTTCTTTTTAAGTGGAACTCATCCAGAAAAAGAAAACAGTCCACGGACAAGTATTGTAAACACCAAATGGCTATATTTAGAAATGGACACATAATTCAACCAACAGCCGATCATATTTACAATTTTACAAGAAAACAGTGAATTGGAAAACATATCGGTAAACAGTTCAGTCAACTAATTGCAAATTAATATACAAACACCATATCCAATTATGCTTAAAAACTTAAAAAAACAACTTGTAAAGCTATAACTGCTGTGCAAATTTCCAGTAAATTTTCTTTTTCACGAGTCAGAATTCAGTTTTGTTTTGTTTTGGCTCCTCAGCAATCCCAACATGCTTTCATCCCTCGAGCGTCGTCATTACGCAGACTCCATGGCAGTGAGGAGGCCTCTTTTACGTTTGCTTTTGTTATCGTAGATGATGTGGGACTTCCACCTGGAAAATGACAATGCTGTCAGTTTTAAATACAGGCAATGGAAAAGGCATGAATGCGTTTGACAGCAACGATAGGAACGAGAGGAATGGACATAAGTCGTGGTCAAGTTATGGGCTCTGAGGTCTTCAAACCACATTCCCCATAAAATGGCCTCGTTTCATTATGAGGGAAGAAGCTCATTTATTGTTGCTATTTCTTTCTAGTTGTTGGCAGTGTACAACCTCGCTAGACTACTTTAATTGACTGCAACATTGCTTAACAAAAGTTCAAGCAACTTAAAGAGATTATTTTACATGTTAAAAAATATAAGAGTTCAATGAAAAGAATGATATAACCACGATATGATGCTGTAGCCAGCAAACGGTTAGCTTAACTTAGCTTAACATAAAGACCAGAAACAAATCTTGTTTATTTAATATGCACAAATGCCAAAGTGTAAAACTAAGAGGTTGTGGTTTTAATAGATATATGTTCATTTGTGAGCAGTAGATGGATTTTGTCACCTTTGTATGCCAGGCTAGCTGTTTCCCCCATTTCCAATCTTTATGCTATCGCTAACCCACTGCTGGTCTTGCACACTTTTCTAATTGTTGGCTTTTCAGATGACAATATTTGAGGAATCATGGTTGCGGTATGTTATTTTAAATAATCTTTTGATTATAATCTTTCCTGATAAGCATGCAAACCTGGACATTGCATCCAAATATGTGCGTGACATCCTCAGTGGTGTCCACAGATGAAGTGTTAGTGGGCTGTTTTTGTTGGAGAGTGTGCGTGCTGTGGTAACGACGTGTCATGTCTGTTATCAAAAAGCTCCTCTGGACGGTTTCTATAAATACCTTCACTAAGTGGCAGGAATTTCACAGCTAGGAGACCCCGTCATCTCAGGGCAGAGCTGATTTTCCACTCTAACAATGTTACAAGCTGTGCTAAAGCTTCAGCCAAGGTAATACTTCACTCTCTTCTCCAAGATAAATAAAAAAATAGCAAAAAACCCTGTTTCTGATGTATTAATTTCCTTTACAGTAAAAGTAACATACTGCTTATGAGATAACCCAGAATGCTCTCTATTTGTTAGTCTCATTCTCTTCATTTAAAATCCTTTTTTTACTTCGTTCAGCTTAAATTGGCTTTTCTGTATACCTCTCTCTCTCTGGCTGTAATTGTGATCATACCACAGTGCTAGCTGGTGGTGAGCAGCCTTTTGCCTGCCAACCCCAGTGTATAGGCAGAACATACCATGACTCAGACACCACTGACTCTGTGTCACCCTCATCTAAATTAAACCTCCCTCTTGTTCAGTTTGCCTGTAGGGGCACTTAATGCAATTTGCATTTAGGTCCATTGCTCCACTGCTTGTGGAGGATGAACGTTTTTTTTTTCCCCACTCAACACATTTCTAAATAACCCAGCTTCAATCTGATGCAGTATTTAGGGGATAATAACATCAGGTAACAAACATCATTTAAACGTCCCTGTTGCTGCACACTTCCTTGAACTTACCCGTTTCAGGCTGCCGGTGCTGCTGTTGCGAATGGACTCCATTAGCTGGTCGTGCGCTGACCTCACCGGCGTGGACGGCCTGCTGGCCTCCTCCCCTCTCCTCTCCACCGACACGGGCCTCAGTGCGTTCTTGAGCTCCCTCAGGATGCTGCTCGTCTCCGCTTTCCCCGTCTCCTTCCCCTTCTTGCCTTTCTTACCTTTTGTCTTCCTCACCTTCTTGCTGCCTGCCTCGTGTGCCCTGATGACCTCCGCGATCATCCTGGTGGGCTTCTTCTTCTCCTCCCGCTGCGGAGGAGGTGGTGGTGGCGGAGGAGGTGGGGGAGGAGGAGGAGGTGGTGGAGGGGGGGGAGGAGCTGGAGCTGGAGGAGTCTGTTTAGCCAGGTCTCTCCTGGGGAGTTTGGGTGAGGACCAAGGAGAGGCTCTGGGTGAGCTGTAAGGGGATGAACGAGGAGTTCCTTTCTGGAGACGGAGCACAAAGTGGATTGTTACAAATGCATTGAGAACTAGTAAAGGCTAGTGGGATCTCAGGTGTAAACATGTCTCATAGTGGAGCAAAGTGACATACCAGTGCGCTGGTTCTGGGGTTCACGGCTCCCTCTGGTGCCCCCTGTTGGCCCTCCTGCTGCAGCTGTCTCTGCTCTTGTAACCGTTTCTGTCTCTGGCGGTCCTGGTTCCTGGTGAGGATCCCCGTCATGCTCATCCTGGGACCAGGCAGGTTAAACTGGTAGCCCAACTTGATCAAGGTGTGGTTTTCCCTCAGTATCTTCACCATCTCCATCTCTACCTGAGGGGACGGGAGGTAGACATTGTTACTCCATGCAGATAAGACAAGGCAAGAAGAACCTCGTTGTGAAGAACTCACCTGTCCTCCGCACATGTGTCTCTGATTGTGGAACCGAAGCTCAGTCAGGGTGTTGTTTCCAGGAAGTGCTTGAACCATCGCCATCACGCCCTTTCCACTCACATAGTTGGACTCTATATTCAGACTGATGATGGACGAGTTTTCCCTCAGCATCTTAGCAATGGCCAGCGCGACTGCGTCGTCGGCTCGGGTGTTGGCGACGCTAAAGACCCTTACGTATGTGTTGGACCTCAGTGCTTCAGCAAATCGGATGAGGGTTTCCTAAAAAGTAGATTATAATATTCTCAGCATGAAGCATATAGAGTATGATTCTATATTCTTTTCACTTGACACCAACCTCCCTGAAGACATGTAACACGAAGTAAGGCCAGTGTTTACCAAGCTGATACAAAGGTCAATTGCCATCGAGTAAACCACGAGTTGATGTAAACCTTCTTGTGAAAACAGAAACGATGTCAATGCTGTCCATTTTTCCAGTTGTAAGAAGTGGTCGTGCTAAATATATAACTATGCTCCCTCCCTCCCTCCCTTTACATATCATGGCAAGCAGCCTGGTTCCAAAAATAAGCTGGCATACAATCAAAAGTTACTCAACAGTAAAGAGCCGGATGCTAGCAAGCGGCTCTTCGTACCTTTGAGATGTCGTCAATGTTGTTCAGATTAACCTCCGTGAGCTCAGGGTCGTTGCCAAGAGCTCGTTGGAGAGCTTCGTCGACGACGGTTGGGTTTCCCATCGCATTCGGGTCGGCAGGTGGAGGGGGAGGAGTCAGTCTCACAGGCTCCACCCTCTGCGGCTTGAGTAGCTTTAGGGTGTCGGCCCATGACTGCGCCCCAGACTCCATTGAGGGCTCGGGTTTTAATTTATTATCTTGTCCCTCCTCATCGTCATCGTCATCGTTGTCATCATCATCGTCATCATCATCATCATCGTCATCTTCCTCCTCCTCCTCATCTTCCTCTTCCTCGTCATCTTCTTCCTCCTCCTCCTCTGTTACAGCTTCCTCACTCTCCTCTTCTTCTTGTTCGTCCTCCTCTTCCTCTTCTTCCTTCTGCTTTAGCGCTTCATGCTTTCTCTGTTCTTTCTCATTTTCAACATCTTTTTCCTCCTCTGCTCCGCTGTTTTCTTCTGTCACACACTCCTCTTGTTCTTCATCCTGTATTGTGATCAAATTGTTCAGTGTTTGAGATGAAACGCTGTAATTATGAGCATTTGCGTTCTTAAAAGCTACATTGAAAAGCTAATTAACGCAGATGGTTTTCAGGCAACTTTGTTAGAAAGAGTGATTTATAATGATTTTCCTTTTAGTGAAGACATTACTTTTAAGTCATCTGTTTTGAATTCCATTTGATAGAACTTCAAACAAGCTGGCTTCACCTCTGCCACATTGTACAAATGCCAAGCAAATCTAATTAAAAATCATTACTGACCGGTTTGGGGCTTCCTCCACAAATCTCGTCCTCCATCAGTCTACGTGTCTCGTTTTCCCAATACTTCATGAGGGCCTCTCTGCTGAAGGTGCCCGTTGGGGTCTTGTCCGTCTGGTCTCTCTGTCTGAGTCCTGTTGGCACGTTGGCATCAGGATCGATATCCACCAGCTCCTTTTCCAACTCAGCCAGCTCTTCGGGGGTGAGGGAAGCCAAAAGCTCGTCCTCATCAACATCTTCGTACTTACTCAACTCTCGGCGGTACCCAAAACAGCTCATGGCCAAAGTGAGATTAGTACAGATAAGTCAGTTTAAACTGTACCAGTTATGGAGTTTCATGCAGCCTGGACCCCAAAATGAAGTAATGATATGGGGATAGAGGTTCAAACAAAAGATTAGGTCCACCGTGAGGTTGCTGGAGATCCACGGACATAAGAGGTCCAGTTTAGGTGATCCTTGACGAGTGAAGCTGTTTGGATGTACCCACTCCAGTTTGAACCGGATCTATCCTGGCCGGCCGCGTTGCTGTGAGTGTGTTGTGTGTCGGTGTCCTCTCCTCTCTAATCTCGCCAGCTGCTGTTTGGGCCTTAAGAGAGGGATCACAGGGGAACGTACCAAAGTGTGGGCCCCATGATGCAGCGTCTTTTTTGGGAGGCACTGCCCTCAGAGACACAAAAAGCATGTGAGCTCAGAGACGTAGCAGTCTGTCACCACGGCCTTAGCGTCTTCGTTCATGGCCAAAAAACACCAGCGGGGCCCAACAGAACAGAACTAGAAAGATAAACGGAGATAATTTCTCCAAAATCTTGATCTGCATATCCATCAGAGGTGTTGGCACGTCCTCTGTTGTTGTTGTTGTTGTTGTTGTTTTCAGTTGATCATATGTTTTCAAAACTGCCATAACATGGCAGAGATGCATATGAAGGGAGGAGCAAAGAAGTTAGTTAAGGGCCGATTGGTTTATGAATGTGTGTTTATGTATATATATATATATATGTGTGTGTGTGTGTGTGTATATATATATATATGTGTGTGTATATATATATGTGTGTGTATATATATATGTGTGTGT